AATTAATAAATAATTGACCTCAAATAAGACAATCCATTCAGTATGTTGAGAAATAAACATTGCAGTGATCGAGTGATCACGTGACCAAACAATTACATTCTGTTTAGACGATTCTGAACAAATGCTATCAATGCTGAGAATATTAGTATAATTATATAATCATTTTTTTCTATAGTCATTCTTCTCTAGATCCACAATTTTATGCATATAAACAAAACAACTTATGTAGAATTTTGTTTATTATTTTTAAATATAAATTGCAAAAATTTTAATTAATATTTTGAAATGTTATTTTTTATTAATCACATATTACACTAGCACTATATTTCTAAACAATGGGGCCAACTTGTATATACAAATACGAAGAATTAAAAACTATAATTCCTTTACCGAAATCTCATGTATAAACAATAGCTTCGAGTTAAAAGAATAAAAATTGAAAGCTCGATTTTATTTTACTTTCTCTTGATGTCAGTTCATTTTTCACTAATATTCCATGCGATTTAGTGAAATCGCCTCTATGATTACCATGATTACCGGTATTTGCGGTTTATTTACTTAGAACCCCATCAATACAGTTGAGCTTCTTATCGCCGTTAATCTACCACACGATCCACAGGATGGTGTATCTACCTCACTCAAAAATCAAATTTGGAGTAATTTTAAATAATAAAATTTTTTTAATAATCCGTTTACCACATTTCATTACGCCTTGGATATTATAACATGAAAATGTTATACTTTTTTTTTTTTTTTTTTTTTTTTATTTGTTATTACTTTTTTCGACTATTTTCAAAAAATGCGACTTCTTTCGACTTATTTTCAAAAATTACGACTTTTTTTTCCAAATATAGAAATAATTTTTAGTATAAAATAAAACTTATTTCGATTTTTATATAATATAGTGGGAAAAATGAATACCCAATGGGAAATGCCAGTGTAGTGCCGATGTTCACCACTGGCTTAGTACTCAGACGATTGTTCGGCGTAGTCTAGCCGAGCCTCGACACTTAGTGCTGGCGCAGTACAGAATTTTTGTTTCGCCAAAGCTTGGACAAGCCACGGCGGCAAGTGCTGGCTGAGTATAGAAAAATTGTTCACAACGCTCTTTGCCAACATTGCTTTTTTGACATAAACTTGAAAAAAATTATAAAGAAAGTTTATAAATGTTTATAAATATAAATTTATTGAAAAAAACTAATATTTTACTTTTCAGTTGTTCATTTTTTATTCTTGTCAAATTTAATAATAACAATTTAACACAATTGTCTAATTTTGTAAATAATAAATTATTTAAACAAATTAAAATTATAAACAAAATTTAAACTTTAATCTCAATAATAATTTAGTTCCTATTAAAATACTATTATACTTCTTACTATGAATAAAAAATTATTAAAAAATTACCACGTAATTTAAGAATTACGTAAAATGTTAAATGCAATAAATAAAGTAATTTAATTTAATTATTAAAAATTTAGTTTAACTTATTTTACTTCAATTTATTATTTCTAACGTATCCCTTTTTTTCTCATCTTTGACTCAATAATTGTATGTCTGAATGATACTGAGATATTAATACTTTACTGTACACATGTGTCGTTAGCATAGTGGTTAGAGCGTTAGTCTGTTAGTCCGTAGGTCGTAGGTTCGATTCCCCTCGTCAGCAATTTGTTTATTTTCATAGGTTTACGATATTTCTAGATTCCAATCGTTAGGTACTAAAATATGAAAATCTAATGCACACTTACTGTAATTGTTTATTATTTAATTTTTAAATGTTATAAACAATTTTTTTCTACTTCATTTACTATATCCATTGTTAGTCTCCATCTTTAATATAATTTCTTTAAGAAGAGAAATATTTTATGAATAATAACTATTTATTAATATTATTTACCATTTTGTTGTTAAATTATTTATAATTATGAATTTACGACTAATTAATAGCAATACGGCATTTATTGCGGCAATATTCTCAGCCAGCACTGGTCCAGTGCTGCGCCAGCGCTGTCTGGCAGCACTGACAGACAGTACTTCGGCAGCGCCAGACGGCGTTATCATCCCAGTGTCATGCCAGTGCTGGCTCTCAGCCTTGCCGCCAGTGCTGCCAGTGCTGGCGCAGTACTACGCCAGTTGTAAATTTCCCATTGGGTATCTAGACAAATCTTCAAAAAATATTTTTTTTTATTAATTTCTTGAATTAAATTTTTGAAATTTACAATTGAAAAGAGTTTCAATAAATATTGCAATTTTGTAAAATATTTAATTGAAAATAATTAATTTTTTTAAAGTGTTTTATAAAAATTTTTGAAAATCAACTTTTGAAGAATTTTAATTACAAATTTTGAAAATAATAGAAATTAAATTCCTCGGAAGAATTTAATTTTTTAAAAAAAATTTTAATATATTTCGAATAAATTCAATTATTTTCAAAAATCTTAATAAATCCTTCGAAACAATTCAATTATTTTTATAAATGGCAAAATTATTCACAAGAATTTAATTATTTTTATAAATTTAAATTTTAATAATTTCAAAACATTCAAATTCAAACATTTTTAAAATTAAACAACTTATAAGAATATTATTATAAAACATGAAGATATCAATTATTACTCCGAGTCTTCGACTCGGAGTGATTGATATCTTCATGTTTTTGAAAAATTTTAATTTCCATAAAATTTTTCAAAAAAAAAAATTAAATTATTTACAAAAATAATGTAATAAAATTCTAAGCAAAAATTCAATTATTTTCATAAATAATAAAATTCTTCGCATGGTTTCAATTATTTTTTTAATACAATTTTAGATAAATTTCTCGAAAAATAAAATTATCTGCAAAAAATTTTTTTAAGAATTAAATTAGGTACATTTTACAAATAATGAAAATCTTCAATGAAATTCAAAAATTTTCAAAATTTACATTTTTAATACAATTTTTCATAAGAATATAATTATTTAAATAAAATGTAATAAAATTCGTTGCATAAATTCAATTATTTTTACAAGTAATAAAATTTTTCACATGAATTCAATTATTTAAAAAAAAAAATTGATAAAATTCGTTGTAAGAATTCCATTATTTTCATAAATTATAAAATTTTTCTGAGGATTTAAAGTAAATTCCTAGAAAAATGGAATTATTCTCTTAATTTTTTTGTCAGAATTTAATTACATTTCACGAATATAATGAAATTCTTCGTTGAAATTCAAATATTTTCACAATCTACTTTTTTAATAAAAGTTCTCCAAAGAATTCAATTAGATATTTAAAAACATGTAATAAAATTCGATGCAGGAATTGAATTATTTTCATAAATAATAAGATTCTTTACATTATTTCAATTATTTAAAAAAAATTGAAAAAATTCACTGCAAGAATTCAATTACTTTCATAAATTGATAAAATTCTTCACAGGATTTCAATTATTTTTAATACAATTTTAAGTAAATTCTTCAAAAAATGTCACTATTCTCAAAAATTTTGTTAAAATTCTTTGAAAGAATTCAATTATGTATTTTATCAATTATGTATTTTTCTAAATTCATGCTATAATGCTTTTAATATTCAATTATTATCTAAAATTTTAACTAACATTCATTTTTAAATCAATTTTTATTGGAAAATTCTACAAGAATTCATTTATTTAAATACAAAAATAAATAATTTATTGAATAAATGAATGTTTTTCGAAACTTAATTATCATAAAGAATTTTATCAACAAATTTGAATTTTTTCGAGAAATTTTAATAAAATTTTCAAGAATATTAAAATTTTTTGAGGAATTCAATTAAAATTGCGTATTAAAAGTAATTGAAATTCTATGATGAATTTTATTATTCATGAAAATAATTGAATTTTTGTAAAAAAATGTTCTTATTTATGAAAATAATTGAATTATTATTGCGAAGTTTGCTTAGAATTTTATCAAACATTTTTTTTTAAATAATTGAATTCTTTTAAAAAATTTTATTAAAACTGTAGATATTGAAAATCATTGAATTGACAAAAATTTTTTGATAATAATTGAAATTTTGCAAAGAATTTTATTAAAATTTTTGAAAATAATTTAAATTTGGAGAAGAATTTTATTACTTTTTAAAGATATAATTGAATTTTTATGAGAATTTTTTTAAATTTTTGAACATAATTGAATTTCGGCGAAAAAGTTTTATTACTTTTGAAAATAATTGAATTTCTGCAATCATTTGTAACTTCTCCAAAATTCAATTTTTTCCAGTTAAAAAAAAATCCCTGACTTTTCCCTGACCAATTTTACTTTCCCTGAATTCCCTGATTTCCCTGACCTGTGGCCAGCCCTGTAATTAATAAAAATTAGCTACAAAAAAATTATATTAAAATATTTTTTAAAAAAATCATTCTTAGAATTTTTGCATTCTAATTTTTTAAAATTCAATTATTTTCAATATTTTCAAATACATATTTCCAAAAATTCAAATACATACAAAAAATAATAATATATTACAATTTTTAACATTTTAACAACATATGGGCATATCTCTGGAACCTTTAACTTTCATGTCTCTCGCATATATTTCGATAATTTCAATAACTTTTTACTTTATTTTTGTTGGAAATATTCCCTCTGAGCAAAAGGACTTACGTAACATAACTATTAACAAAACATAAAGAGCTTTTTTCCTTTTAATTATTAAAAATGTAACATTTTCTTATTAACGAATAAAAAATACAGGGAATTACAAATTTTGAAACACTAATAACTATAAATATTGTTATAACCGCAAAAACCTCATAAATTAAAATCAAGATAAATAAAATATACAATATACTATTATTTTTAACAGCAAATAAATATAAGTGAGAGCGCGCAAGTATATTAGTTACGACTAGTTTTAATAAATTCTCTAATTTCGTTTATTACAATTTTTACATTTTATTTACAGTGGCGGTTTAAAATTGTTTCCAATAAATTACTAATAATTATTATATAGTATATTATTTTGATCAATAAATTCATATCATTTGCTGGCGAATAAAGTTTAGGTAGGAATATACATTAGTGTAGATGTCTGGATTACCAGCACCGCATAATTCACCACCCCATGATACAATACCAACGACTTGTCCATTTGCCACTAAAGGACCTCCACTATCGCCCTGTAAAATATTTAAAAAAAAATATTTTATCATATGTGACAGGAAAAGTTAAAAGTGACCTACGGTTCGAAAAAAAAACTTGATTCTGATAGAGACAAATTTTTTTCTCACTAAATAATTTGAAATTGATTTTTTTCCAACCGTATAGGTCCCTTTTAACTTTCCCTGCGGCACATATTTTAAGAATGTGAAAAAAATGATTTTTTTTTATAGAATAATTAATGTTTAATTATTGTGGTATACGACTTACGTTACAAGCTCCTTGACCTTGGGAATAAATTCCACATATTTGTTCGAAATACAATTGATTTCCCATGTATTTTTGGCATTTTGTGGCATGCAATATTTCTACAATGACTTTATTGAGGAAGAGGGATGGTTGCCTTGAATAAGTTGTTCGATAGCCCCAACCAGCAAGTGTTCCATAAGTCCCTTCAATTACACTGTAACTGGGAAGTTGTACCTTCGTCTGGTGTACATTGAATACCATTGGTGCAGACAACTGAAAAAATGTAGTCAAGATTTTTAAATAAATCAACTTTTTCGAATAGGTATGAATTTTAACGTTTTTTTCAAAGGCGTAACCTTAATGCGGCTTTTAAAGGTGAAAGAAATGGCTTTTCTTTATCATATAAAGTTTTTGGATACATTTTTTTTAATGTATATAGTTTTAGGTAATAAAATAATAAAAAAATTGCATGGTACAATTTAAACATAGAAACAACATTTAACAATTTAAACAACTTTTAACCTAGAACAACCTTAATGGGGTCCCTAAAGATACTTCTGCTTTAAATCACTAATGTCGAGTAATCCGTAAATAAAAAATAACTTTTATTTTTACCTTTAAAACTGCAACGTCATTAGGAAAAGAATACTGCCCACTCATAATGAACGAAGGATGAACAATTACTTGACTTATCGCGTGCCTCTGTCCACCCTCCAATAAACTTTTTGTTCCAGAAAGTACAACTAAATTACTGTATGGATAGACTGCCCTATGAACGCAATGTGCTGCTGTTAATATATGTTGTTCACTTATAATTGCTCCACCACATGTATGTTGTCCATTATTTTGCAGTGAAACTAAATAAGGAAATTCGTCTTCAACTGTGTAAAAACCACCAGTAATTTTTTGTGGAGGTCCTCCATGTCCTTTATACCAAACAAAAAACCAGATTCAACAAGTTTTCAATTTAAAAAAAAAAACTTAAATACATAAGCAGAAGATTCTATTAAAAAACAACTTTAAAACACTGAAAAAATATTATTTAATGTTAAACAATCAAAGAAACTCGTAAATATTCAAAATTTAAGATGGCGGATCCAATATGGCGTCAATTTTTTTTGAAATTCACCCAATTCGCCTGAATCTTGTTACTCGGGGGTTTTTGGGCTTGCTAAATAAGAATTTCACCTTAGTTTTCAAAAATTCAAAATGGCGGATCCAATATGGCGTCAATTTTTTAAAAAATTATTGGATTTACCTGAAACGTTATATTCGGGGGGTTTTTGGGGTCGCTGAATACGAATTTCACCTTAGTTTTCAAAAATTCAAAATCTGATAAATTTTTAACTAATTCGTTACCCATATTGGATCCGCCATTTTGGATTTTTTAAAACTAAGGTGAAATTCGTATTCAGGGACCCCACAAAAACCTCCAAGTAACAAGTTTCGAATAAATCTGATAAATTTTTTAAAAATACGTCAGCCATATTGGATCCGCCATTTTGAATTTTGAAAAACTTAAGGTGAAATTCGAATTCAGCGACCCAAAAGACATATAAAAAACATGGTCCGGTGAATACTTTCTTTAAAAAAAAATTTGTGGCCCTGTGTTATTTTTAAAACGTAATAAAATTCTTCGACAAAATTCAATTATTTTCAAAAATTTTATTAAAATTCATTACAAAATTTCAATTATTTTCATAATTATTAATATTTATCACACGAATTCCATTACTTTCTATAAAGTAATAAAATTCAATTATTTTCAAAAATTTTAATAAAATCCATTGCAAAATTTCAATTATTTTCAAAAGTAATAAAATTCTTCGCAGAAATTTATGTTCAACATTTTTTTTTTTAATTCTCGTCAAAATTTCAATTATTTAATTATTATCTTTAGAAATATTAAAATTCTTCTAAGAAATTCAATTATTTTTTAAAAAATCGAAAAAAATGGTCAAATCATCTCAATTATCTTTATAAATAAATAGCGAAATTCTTTGACAAAATTCAATTATTTTCAAAAATTTTAATAAAATCCATTGCAAATTTTCAATATCTACTATTTTCATATAAAAATTGACCAAAAGAATTTAATTATTTAAAAAAAAATTTAATAAAATTCTACAAAAACTTTTAATTTTTTTCAAAAAAATAATAAAAATTTCACAAGAATAATTATTCATTAATAACAAATTTTTTTTTTATAAATTTCTTCGCAACCATATTCAATTATTTTCATAAATAATAAAATTTTTACGGGGATTCAATTATTATTTTCGTAAATAATTATTTTTAATAGAATTTTTATCGGATTCCTCGAAAAAGTTCTTAAAAATTTTATTAAAATTCGTTCAAAGAATTTAATTATTTAAAAATTTGTTGATAAAAAATTTATTTTTAATGGAAATTGAATTCCAAGAAACATTCAATTATTAAATAAATTATTTATTTGCATTTCATTTGTATTTAAATAATTCAATTCTGGTATAGAATTTTCTCATAAACATAAATAAACATTGATTTAAAAATAGATTTCAGTTAAAATCTTAGATTATAATAATTGTATTCTTTCGAAGAATTTCATTAAAATTTTGAAAATAATTGAATTTTATTGAGACATTTTTTTTTAAATTGTCTTAAAAATAATTGAATTTCAACCAAAAAAAAGTTTTATCAAAACTTTTTAAAATGTTTATGAATTTCTGCTATAAAATTCTGATTATTTTTAAAAATAATGAAATTCCTGCGAAGAATTTTATTGAGACTTTTTTAAATAATTGAATATCTGCAAAGATTATTATTATTTTTCAAAAAGTATTTAAATTCTTGTGAAAAATTTTATTAAAATTTCTGAAAGTAATTGAACTTTGTTATTTTTAATTTATGCCAAGAATTTTATTAAAAATTTTAAAAAATAATTGAATTCCTGTTATAATTTTTTACAAGAATTTAATTATTTTTGTAAAATTTTAATTTAAATTCTTCGCAAGAATTCAATTATTTTCATAAATAAATAAAATTCAATGCAGAATTTCAAATAATTTGAAAATTTGTTTGACCAACGATTTTTTATATGGGAATTGAATTTTTAAGAAACGTTCAATTATTCAATAAATTATTTATTTGCATTTTATTTGTATTTAAATAATTGAATTCTAGTAGAATTTTCTAATAAAAATTGATTTTCATTTCATAAAAATGAATTTCAGTTAAAATCTTAGATATAATAATTGAATATTAAATGCAATAGAGCGTGAATTTTTAAAAAATAATTGAATTTTGTAATTAATTTTTTTTTTTTTTGAAAAAGTTTAATTGAATTTTTTAAATATTATTTTTAGTTTCTATTTTCTAATATTTATTTCGTTAAAGAATTTACGAATAATTGAAATTTCGTTAAATTGAATATTGCGTAAAGAAATGAATTTGAAAATTGTCAAAGAACTTTTTCGAAAATTATTACAAATAATCGATTTAAAGAAGAATTTTAGATAAAAATTCTTAAAAATAATAATTGAATTGATAATGATTGTGAAAAATTGAATTTCTAGTTTTAAGTAAAATATTCTCTTATTTAATTCGGCTTGATTCCATTTTTGTCAGTTGGTCCGTAAATGGTTCGTAATTTTTAATTTTTGGTCCGTAAATGGTCCGTATTTTTAAGTACTTTTTCACTGCTTCGAGCCCCGTAATATATATTTCCTATTATTTACGCAGAAATACATATTTCTGCATTAGAATTTTAGAAAAAAGGATAAATTTACAAAAAATATAAATCTCACCACAAATAATATTGTAGAAGATAAAAAAAGCACTCAAAGCTGCGTTTCTCGACAACATATTGTATTAATGTAAAATTTTCGTTAATTCTTCATCATTTATGTAGTCGAATGTCATGTTTAAACAGAAGTTTTTTTTTTCATTATTTGAAGAAAAAATGATAAATGACATATATTTACAAATAATGCCATATGCATAAAAAAGTTCCGCCCGTTAATGAATTAAAAAATTATGGAAAATCAGCATATTAGGGAAAAATGAATGCGAATATTATCATTAAAATCGAAAGATCAACATTGATGTATCATTTCAAATTTTTATCTTTTAATTTTTCATTTATTTCACCTAATGAATTTATGTCGTATGTAATTTAAATTTAAAATAAATAAATTTATTGCAAACAGAACCTTGAAAATATGACTATAAACAATAATCTTCCTGCTCTGTTATCTTTCGAAGTCAAAATCGTGTTTGAATATCGTAAAACGTCATTTGGCGATTTTTGCAATAATTTAAAAATTTTTAATTAAACTATTAAATGTGTTTGAATTCATTTCGTTTCTTCTGAATTTAAAAATTATTTAATATTATTTTTTTTTAGTTTATTACTAGTAACTAATACTTATGCTAATACTAATAACTAATACTTATACTTATTTATACTGTTCAAAATAAAAATAATTTAAATTTAACATCGAAGAGTTTCTAACATCATGTGACTTGAAAGTATATTTATATATAAATATTTAACAGATTTTATATTTGAAACTATTTTTACATTTATATGACAATTAAATATTTTTTGGATATGGCATGAATTGTAGCTGGTGATATGTAACTTTGGAATTGAAATTCATGATGTTATATTGATATTTGACAGTAGGGGATATAATTCGAGGAGATGTTAAACCCAGGAGGCCAACTTTTAGATGATTCTTTTTATTTAGCCCTCTCCAATAGTGGACAATTCCTTTTTTTTCCCCCTTTTTTTCGTTATTTTTATTTCTATTTCTTACAAGTGTGCCATTCTAGGTGTCATGTTTTGCAGGCACGTTTTCGTTTAAGCGTGCAGAGATTTCGAGAATAGTTATAAGAGATTTGTGAAAGGTGCGAGATAAAAATATCTATAACTGTGTTATTGGAGAACAAATTCTAAGCAATGTCTTTTTATCAATCCCTGGGGAAAAATTGCAATGAACTTTTCTTTTCTGCATGAATTTTAACAGGATGTTCAGTATTACAATCTTTATATTAAATTTTGCCCGCACCTTAGGGCCAGGACGACATTTTTTCAAAAGTTATCAAAAAATTGTATAACACACACAATTATATATCGATATTCATTTATAATATTATTGTATTATATGCAAACAAAATTACCACAAAGTTTAAAATTTTTAAACTATTAACTGTATAATCTATAATCATACAGTACCACTTTAAAAACAATGCTCCAAATTATAAAAAAAAAAAAATTTGGTAGATTTAGGTGGAAGATTTCAGCAAGTACTTCAAAAATTTGTCCATTAGTTCAAATAAAGATATAGTACTAGAATTTTAAGGGCATTTAGGCATTTAAACCATAAGAACGTCACAGCTTGTGCAAAGCATATTGTTCTACAACTTTGACGTCATACTGGTTCAAAAGCCCTTATAACTGGATTTAGTAGTCGATTAAATTGTTACCAACAAATGTATTTAAATATAAAAAAATAAAATAACCGAAATAAATCTAAATGTAAATATAAACTAAGTGCACCAAGATTTTGATGATTGATTCATGTGAATAAAAATTTGATAAAAATTTTGCCACAACATTTTTTGTAGATTTTAATAATATCTACAACTTGAAAACTTTTTTAATATCTATGTAACAATAATACAAAAGTTATAAACAAATAAATGAATAAAGATATATAAGGAATGACAGGGTTGCCACAAGGTCAGAGAAATCAGGGAATTCAGGGAAAAATCAGGGAATTTTAATATTTAAGTAACTGGAAAAAATTGAATTTTTGAAGGAATTTACAAATAATTGCAGAAATTCAATTATATTTTCAAAAGTAATAAAAATTCTTCGCAAAAATTCAATTATGTTCAAAAATTAAAAAAAAAAAAATTCTCATAAAAATTCAATTATCTTTTAAAACTATAATAAAATTCTTCTCTAAATTTCAATTATTTATGAAAATAATTGAAAACCTACATACCTATAGAATTTTATTATTAATGAAAATAATTGAATTCCTGGTTAAAAAAAATGTTATTCTTCATGAAAATAATTGAATTATTGCGAAGAAATTTTTAAAAAAATTTGTAAATAATAGAATTCCTCTGAAATTTTTATTATTTAATTAATTCATTCAAAATTGTCATTTTATAAAATTAAAAAATTAAAATTTTTTTTAAATAATTTAATTCGTTTTGGGAAATATTTTATTAAAATCGTAGATATTGAAAATCATTAAAATTAGAAAAATTTCTGAAAATTAAAAAAAAAAATTTTTTTTAAATTAAATTATTTCATAAATAAGGGTAAAAAGTTTGAAAATGTCCACGATCCCATGTATTTTTGTGTCCACAAGGGGGGAGGGGGGGGGGGGTAAAAAATCTTTGAAAAACTGTCCATGTGGTATATATGGACGACCCCTAACATTTTTTTTTACAAAAATTCAATTATTTTCATGAATAATAAAATTCATCATAGAATTTCAATTATTTTTAATAAAATTTTAATTGAATTTCTCGAAATATTTAATTATTCTTGAAAATTTTATTAAAATTTCTCGAAAAAATTCAAGTTTGTTGATAAAATTCTTTATTGCGATAATAATTTAGTTTCGAAAAACATTTATTTATTCAATAAATTATTTATTTTTGTAATTAAATTTAAATGAATTCTGGTAGAATTTTCCAATAAAAATTGATTTTTATTTCATTAAAATGAATTTCAGTTAAAATTTGAGATAATAATTGAATATTATAATAAGCATTATAGCATGAATTTTTAAAAATACATAATTGATAAAATACATAATTGAATTCTTTTGAAGAATTTTAACAAAATTTTTGAAAATTTATAGTAACATTTTTCGAAGAATTTACTTAAAATTGTATTAAAAATAATTGAAATCATGATGTGAAGAATTTTATTAATTTATATATGAAAGTAATTGAATTCTTGCAGTGAATTTTTTCAAATTTTTTTTTTTTAAATAATTGAAATAATGTAAAGAATCTTATTATTTATGAAAATAATTGAATTCCTGCATCGAATTTTATTACATTTTTTTTTAAATAATTGAATTGTTTTGAGAACTTTTATTAAAAAAAGTAGATTGTAAAAATATTTGAATTTCAACGAAGAATTTCATTATAATTCGTGAAATGTAATTAAATTCTTACAAAAAATTTAAGAGAATAATTCCATTTTTCTAAATCCTTAGAAAAATTTTATAATTTATGAAAATAATGGAATTCTTACAACGAATTTTATCAATTTTTTTTTTTTTAAATAATTGAATTCATGTGAAAAATTTTATTACTTGTAAAAATAATTGAATTTATGCAACGAATTTTATTACATTTTATTTCCCTCTAATGAAATTTATCCATTTTTGAATAAAAAGTTATCTTTTTTAATTATATGGGCAAAAACTTTTTAAGACAATAAGAAAAAAGGAATTCTTTGCTTCAATGAAATTTGTCAGATTTTTGCCCACAGTTAAAGAAAGAAAATTATTTTCAATACGATAAATTTTATTAAAGAGAAAAATTTCATTTTTCCCATTGTTTTTAAATTTATGCCCGCACAGTTAAAAAAAAAGAAAAAAAATATTTTTATAAAAGAACAAAGTTTCAAGGTCAAGAATTTTTCTTTTACCCTTTGTTTTCAAGTTTTTGCGATAAAAAAAATGAAATTTTTCTTTAAAAAAAAAATTAAATTAAACTATTTCAAAAAAATTAATTCCTTCAATAGTCAGTTGAAAGTACAGAAAATTCAAATTTTCAAATTATTTTAATTCGAAACCTTTTCAAAATTATTCAATTATTTAAATACAAAAGTAAATAATTTATTGAATAATTGAATGTTTTTTAAAATTTAACACTTTTGCAAAGAATTTTATCAACAAATTTTTAAATAATTGAATTCTTTTGACGAATTTTAATCAAATCTTTTTAAGAATAATTACATTTTTCGAAGAATTTGATTAAAAATAATGAAAATTCTGCGATGAGCTTTTTATTATTTATGAAAATAATTGAATTCCTAAAATTATTTATAAAAATAATGAAATTCATAAAACAAATTTATTATTTATAAAGTTAATTGAATTCTTGCGAAGAAATTTATAAAAAAATTTGTAAATAATTGAATTCCTGTGAAGTTTTTATTATACATTTATGAAAATAATGAAATGTTTGCGTAGAATTTTATCAAAATATTTTTAAAATAATTGAATTCTTTTGGAAAATTTTATTAAAAGAGCAGATATTGAAAATCATTGAAATGAGGAAAATTTTTGAAAATAATTGAATTTTGGAGAAGAATTTTATTATTTATAAAGATAATTGTGATTTTGACGAGAATTTTTTTTTTTTTAATTTTCAACATAATTGAACTTTGCAAGAAGAATTTTATTAATTTTGAAAATAATTGAATTTTTGCAAACACGTTTGTAAAACTTTGCAAAAATTAAATATTTTAAAAATGTTTTAAACTAAAATTTTTCAAAAAGTCCATTATTTTTAATAAAATTAACTAAATATTATATTGATAAATTTAAGTAATTTCAAAAAGAATTTAAATCATTAAAATTTTCCAAAAATCTAATTTTTTAAAGTTTCAAATTTTGAAACTTTTTGAAATTTATCTATTTATGAAAATAATTGTGAACGGAATAACTCTTTTAAAATTTAATTAATTTTGTAATCAGAATATATTATTATTGTAGTTATAAGATATTTCAATTCATATTTCATTTTTATAAAGAAAAATTTGAATTGAAAATTAAAAAAATTTTTTTTTAAATTGCATTTAAAAATTGCATTAAAATAAA